ATCATATCATTGTGGAAGAGAGGTGTAGTTTGACTCTAAAGATGTGTTTCATCGCCGCTCAATTACTCCACCACAACAGGCAAATTGCCCTGTGTATTGTTTTCTTCGCCAAAAATCACTTATTGTAATGGCGCTATAGTTCCTTGCCCAAAATAACACAGCCTCTAAAATTGCTGTGAAACTGGAGCATTTTCACATTGTAAATGTCAGTACTTTCATTAGGAAACTATACTTCTATTTGATACGGGAATCTTTGATATCCAAACATTCCTTGGCCTTTACACACGTGCACGTTTTTAGCTTCAGACCACACAAAAGCGCGGGAACTCAGAGTAGGGGGGGGGGGCAGGGAGAGGGGGAGGGGGAGGAGTGGGTAAAAAGTTACTTAACCGAGTCCTGACCCTGACCGATTCAAGATTGTCAAATAAGTATTGCCGTTTTGATTCCAAATAATTTAGGAACCATTACATAGGTCTTTCTTAAACTGTTTGTTTTGAAAAACGCTGAGCTGAAGGGAAGATATTTTCGACCGATTCCAATGCTGTCAGTCAGAGGCGAGGCCTGTTTACATTTCCGATCGGAAAGAAAACAGAGAACTTGGTCGCGGCAGACTTGGCCGGGTTTGTTTTACATCTGTCAGCACCGAATAAACAATCAACACAGGCACTCGTGGATATCTACACATCAGGTGTTTAATTACGCACCTCATCAAGTTTCGTGCAATCTAAACATCAATGTAACTGCGGGGTTATCAGGCGAAAAACGGAACGCTCCTCGCCTCTTTATCTTCCGATACTGTTTGCTTTGGCTACGTTTTTTTTCGCCCAGTTTTGCCGGCGTACGATAAAAAGCAAAGCTGTGCTGTTGAGTAAAAGTTTCCAACCGCCTGTCGTTTTCCACATCATGGAATCGTGGCATCACGGTGTCGCGACGTATTTGATTCTAATCCCGTGAAGTTTACAAGATTTAGGAGCTAGCTGGTTTTCCATTGCGTATCCTTCACCGACGTGGTAAGCCTCATCTAACTCAACGTTTGCCAAAAGATTTCTTTTCTGACGGAGAAAGACAAACAAAGCCCACGCAAAAAAGCAATTTTTCATCTGCGTTGTCCCATTGAAATTCGGACGAACTTTCTCCGCAGCTAGCAGAAGACACTTTCCAGTTTGCGAAGCTAATGGAGATGGAAACAGAGGAATCGGGCTCGGCCCAAATGGGGAATGATTTATCCAAAGACGTTTACAACCCAGCTTTAGTGAGCATACAAAGTGCGTGGTACTCTTTCATCCTGACTCTTGGAGTGATAGGAAATATTTACATCATACTAACAGTTTGGTGCCGCAAGGGAATGTCTTCCACCATCAACTTGTTCATCGTGAATCTGGCTGTCAGTGATCTTGGGATCTTAATGATCTCTCTTCCAGCCGAGTACATCAAAGAATACTTCGCGTGGCCGTTTAATAAACTGACCTGCCAGATTTTCAGCCCGCTTAACGAAGTGTTTTTCTGTGTCTCGATACTTACACTCACCGTCATCACTGTAGAGAGGTTTCGGGTGATTTGCAGACCATTCAAGCCGAGACTGAACGAGAGAGAAGCCAAGATTATCATCCTCATCGTCTGGTTAGTATCATATCTAACCGTTGGTTTTCCGATGTCGTTCCTGATGGTAGTGGAAGAGATCGCCAATTGTCGCAAGTGCTTGCCTATGTGGCCAAGTGACCTCCATCGGCGATTGCACACTTGTTTCATCGCTTCTCTCATAATCGTGCCTTTGTTTATTACGGCCACGGGCTACGCCGCCATTGTAAAGAGCATGAGGAAACAGAGCGCGCGGATCCGCGCGAGAGCGAACTCCATCTGTAGCGCGACCGATACTTTTCGTAGTGACATGTTCCTCTTACAACAGAACACAAAACTCATCAAGATGCTCCTGCTAATCGTTGTTGTTTTCTGGATTTGTATGCTGCCTCTAACCCTGCTGGCACTGGCGATAGAGTTTGGAAGCATCGACCCAACCACTAAAACAGTCGAAGGGCTATATACCTTTAGCATCGCGCTATTTTTCAGTAACAGCGCTTTCAATCCCATTGCCGTCTACATCATGAGCTCAGAACTGAGGAAGGGAACTTATGCTCTTTTTCACAGAATTTCAAACTGTTTTAGCCGTTACTTTTGAACCTAACATAAAGCAAATAAGAACAAGTACGATGTGTTATCGTGCTCGAGAACATCTATTGTTCTGTAACATGTTCCGGCCTATAGCCGCTGTAGATAATCGCTAAGTGTTGTTACAATTTCTTTCTGCTCGTGTTGTAGTATATACTCAGGTTTGTTGTTGCTGTTGTCAGATGTATAAATTCTATTGTAGGAACAGCCGTCAACGGCAATAAAGAACGCTACAAACCACAGGGGCGTATTAATTTAAATTAATGGCGTTTTTTTCTTCACAAGCGCTTGTTAATAATTTCTTTTAACGAAGATCGTTCATGATTCATGATCGTGATCATGCGGCCAATTGAAACACGTTTAGCGATTTAATCAAACCGCAAAGCGACCGAAAATTTGAGAGAAAATTGATTATGTAAGGAGATAAAATTCTTTACAGATTCGATTGCCTTTCCATTGATGTGCGCATTGTGTTTACAGGAGCAGGATAAAGGAAATGTAAGCGATCGGACGTTATTCTTAAGCTTTTAATCAGCAATATGAAGGGTGTAAGTTTCGTTTTTTTGTCCTAATTATCCATCAATCAATCGATAGGACCAGAAGTTTTCAGTTGAAATATATATACATTTATAAAAAGAAACACACGATGCTATGGAAAAAAAACATTGTTACAGGATATCTGTTTGAACAAGTTTAAATCATTTGACCTCTCTTCAAAAGAAACGAGATCATAAACTATTTGTTTTTGCTTTCGTCCTTATGTTCTTTTGCATCGCTCGCTCGCTCTCCGGATTTTTTGGGTCGCTTTTTCTTAGGCGGAATATTTTTTGACAGTTCTCCAACCCCACCCTATCACAAATGTAGTGGTCCATCCCTGAGTTTGAGTAATACCTTGAAAGCTAATGTAAACCAAGCTAATCCAATGTACTCAGTCGTGGATCAATTATTTCTCGACTAAGCAAACTGCAATCATTCGCAGCTGGAAAAAATAATGAAAACGTCGAGTCATGGACAACTGCCAAATAACTTTTTTCCACGGATTTCTTTACCCCTCAGTTTGCTTTCAAGGTAATATATCCGGAAAACCAAGGAAGACTCTTCAGGGTTAATAGGCTTTTAAGTGTTTTGAACCAAATATCGTGTTTCCACTATCAAGTAGCAGAAAAGAGATTACACGAAAATGTTTCAAAACCTAAAGCAAACTGTTGAATGTATGTCCTGTCTTACAGGTTGTACGATTTCATTCTAGAAAGACAACAACTAATTTGTCCGCAATATTGTACCTCAATGATCTATCCTTTGAATCATCAACAAAAAACACTGAGCATGTGCAAGTGTTTTTTACTTTTGGCAAAATCAAGTTCGATATCAAAACTAGATATTTCCTTTCGACTGATTTCCGCTGCTCTCTCGAGTCCAGTCGATCTTTATCCGAACAGTGGCCGAAAGTTTCTCAATTCTGTATCAGTCAGAGGTCAAAGATAAATCTGAAGAAGAAGCAACATAAACATCTTTAGATCAAATTTCAGTCTGATCTGTTGTCTGCAGATAAAGCCTTACAAAACACGCCAAATTCTTTCACGTACATAACGAAACCTTACACGTATTACGAATTCAGACTTATTAAGAATTCTGAACATGGCAATTCAGTGTACACACTCGAGAGTTTTGTCCCCGTTTGTTTGACCTGCTTGGACAACAAAGAGTGTACCTAGTAACACTTCCGTGACTCTCCATTAGAAATTAGTACCAGAGTCGCGATTTTTCACCTTTGTAAGGCCTGATACTCAGGTTATCGCGATTCAGTTCTGTCAAGTTACAAATCCCGGATTTGCAATCGAAACGAAATCACTTTTAAATTAAACTGATCACCCAGCTATCGTACTACAGCGCATGGGAAGCCCAGTAGCCTACATTGCTGGCGTAAACGGGGATGAGGTAGAGAAGCAGAAAACACTAGGAAGAAAGTCCCCCCTTCTATCCCTGCTCCCGCTCTCCATTCCCCTCTCCGCCGTTTTACGCTCGCTACATAGGCTATAGGCTTAGTTGCTAAAACAGTATTAGTCATGTTTCCTTGCCCAAATGTTTGTGTTTCTTAACCTGCTAAATGGATTAAAATTCATCCAGAAATAGGACTCAGAACGAAAGGCTTAGCAAGGGTAGAGTTTAAGAGCTAACATGATTTTAATTCGGACGGAACCATAGTATGTCTGGGTGACGTGGAACGAAAGTCATCGCGGGTTCACTTTGAAGGCTCCTTTTTACTAGCACATGGTAAGATGTTGATACTGAACAGCACCTTTTTGCGACTCCGTATGTTGCTTGTAAGAACCAGCCCTTCCAGTTTTCCTTAGAAAAGAAGCGTCGGCCACACCTAACCTAGAAACATTCCGTCTTCAAGTCTCAAGAATACCTTGCCGGTTGATAGTCTTGATAACCGCGCTCACCTCCTTCAGACTCATATACCCTCCGATTGCTTCGGGAATTGCGCAATCGCAGAATTTTAAATTATTTATTTATCTCCGAGTGAGACACTTATTCTGGTGCAAGAATTTGCTGTAACTGAACTCGACGAAATTGTGGACATAGTTCAGTTAAGAGAAAAGAAACATCTTTGTTAGTGGAGTGCAAATATATGTTTGTTCGCTCAGTCCTTATGGGACGCCAGTTTTTGAAGACCAAAGACATTTCAACTGAAACATTCATGATGCGTACTGAATGGACGCTGATTGGCTGCAAGCTTTTTTCCTTTAGCCAATCAGAGTTAGGGATCTTTGACATGCATCTCGTTTTCGTACAAACGAGGACGACCTGTGATTTCTAACTATTTTTCAAAAATATCAGGTGAATTTTTGGAAGGTAATCCAAAA